GTATGTTGAAACTGTTATGTTTATTAGCACACGCGGTACATATGACGTCCGAACGTGAACTGATTTGCTTACGCTAATACAATTACATATTTACTTAATAATACATAAAATTATAAATTGCCACGTAAGGAAATGTTTTGTTTGGACTAAACACCTATTATAGAAATACCGTACACAAATACCTTTAAATGAATTATTGATTTTGTGAAGCATTGTAAGTGTCGCACAAAACGCCGCCACCGGCATATTTCTTGTAGTTTTCATACATTTTATATGGACTCGCCACACACGGTACGCCGGTGGCCGCCATACGCTACAAATCGTCGTTGTTCGCTTCTTGTGGCCGGCACCGGCCACTTAATGCGCCGATACACCCCTCGCTCCCTTGCCTTAGTCGGCCGCTGCCGCGCGCTTCAGCCACTTTAGTAGCCGCTTCTAGCTTCTCGCGGAGGCGTTTATGGCTGTGGCGTATGGCCCGTGTGCGACGACACTAATGGGTACAGCTATTTATACACCTTGCCTACCTGAACCATATTGTCTACCCCGTGGAGCAAATTAAACCAAATGTACCCCTATTCTACTGTGATCTTCTGGAAGGTGAGAATTATTGCTTACTAGTGGCCCGCCCTCGCTTCGCTTCGGTGTAGAGCTGTAGTGTAAACTATAGTTTTTGTTCTCAGGCTTGTGCTATAAAGACTGACTTTATTTATATAATTACACCTGTTATTGTGAGTCAACCATAAAAGATAGATATATGTTGTTGCGGGATATTTTTTAGACAATTTTATGTAGAATATTTCCGTCATACATGATTTCTATGTAACCTTAACCAATAAGGCTGCACACGCGACGGAAGCTTAAAAAATGGAGTAACTTCTCCCGTTTTCCCAACATTTCCCTTCACTACTCTGCTGCTATTGATTGTAGCGTGATGAAAAGTATACTATAACCTGCCCAGGAGTATGAAGAATAATTGTACCAAGTTTCGTTAAAATCCGTTGAGTAGTTTTTGTTTCTATAAGGAACATACACACAGACAGACAGACAGACAGACAGACAAAAATTTTACTGATTGCATTTTTGGCATCAGTATCGATCACTAATCACCCCCTGATAGTTATTTTAAAAATATATTTCATGTACAGAATTGACATCTCTACAGATTTATTATAAGTATAGATAACGTGCTCATTGGGCACGGTGATGGACTTTGATACTATTGATAATGCATAAACCATTATAATCAGCCTATTAATGACGCACTGCTGGGGCACAGGCCTTCCCTATGGATGATAACAATAGGGAGATTGAGCCATTGGCCATTGGCCTAGTGCGGATTGGTGGGTGCTAACGATTGCAGATGCAGCCGGGACCAACGGCTTAATGTGCCTTCCGAAGCATGGAGGAACTCGAGATAGAAGATTTTTGGTCACCCATCCAATGAATGACCACTGCGAAAGTTGCTTTACTTCAACGATTGCAGCCCAACGCGCTAACCACCCATCGAGTACCTCATAATTTAAATGTCACCGCCTATTATATTATTAAAAATCCATTAAAAGTAAGTGCAATCATTACAAGACCTGGTAGATATTCTGACGTAATGTTATTGATATCAAAACATAGGTCTATACAATAATGTTCCACGGCCACCTGTGCGCATGACCGGCCGCAGATAAAGCCGCTTCCGCCGGAAGTCCAATCGTCGCCATTTTGGTATCACTCGACATTGTGCGTCCGCGCACACCGTGCCTAATCGACGTAACATCGATACAATGCAGCTGGTTCATCTGTTACAATTACAATCGAATATTCTAATGTGTTTACTGAGCTCACGCCCAAGGTCTGACTGTTATTCGACATTTTGTCAGACAATTCGTTTGTTTTTGAATGATTACAGTTATTTGTTTTTAAGTCGTCGTGACGTGGCGTCACTAAGCGCGTTCTATCGTCTGTACCACGGCGAGTGTTCTGAGGAGTTATTCTCTCTTATCCCACCTTCCCCTTACCTTCAGAGGACCACGCGCGCTGGCCTACGTTGTCACCGTCTTACTGTGGCCACAATTCCAACGCGTACAAAGAAATTTGGTGACTCATTTCTTTGTCGCACTATCCGTAAATGGAATGCTCTGCCCACTCACGTGTTCCCTCCCTCTTACAACCTGGGATCCTTTAAAAGAGGCGTGAAGAAGCAACATGCAGGCCGGCAGGGTGAGGATGGCTGGTGTGGCAGGTAGAACTGCTGTTTCAGCTATCTTCGCGTCTGGACTTCACCTTCACCTAACATCAGGTGGGGTGGAGTCATTTGTCGGACCTATCTATAAAAAAAAAAGTCTACAGAAGCCTAATTAGCTTAGCAAAGTGTTAAGTTCTGTAAACGATTTACGAATATGTTTAACTAGATTTTACCTGCGATTTTATACGTGTAGATTTGAAAAATCTCTCCGGACCTATCAATGAGGATTAAAATTCAAGAAAAGATACGCGCTCCAATTTTTTTTTATCGAATATAGTATTTTCGAAGCTGTGACCTGTAAAAATATAGCAGATGGCAAAAAATGGGGAAAAAATAGTAATTGGTTAAAATAGTGACTTTACCTTTGAAAAGAATGTATTTTTGCTGCTCTTTGCCTTTATAAATATTATTTTTAAGAAAGCTTTTACTGGCAAATATCTGCTTTAAGCAAAGTATAGTAGTTTCGCCTACTATATGTTGGTTTTAGAAATATAGAATTTCATCCCCTAATATAGTAGGATAGAGTCTGTGCAGAAAGAGAATGGGATTTAGATTGGAGGGCGCTGTAGTGCTTTTCTACCGTATTTGTAAGGTTTTACCAATTTTAGACATGATTAAATACAAAAAACCGCAAGAAATGACAACAGCAAACAAATCCGTATCAATACAAAACTTTGACGTTTTACAGATTGCTGGGTTTGATTGTCAAATAAAAATATTAATGTTAGTTCCGTTTTTCGCCACGCCCATTCTCTTCCCGCACAGACTCTACTATATTATAAACTAGGGTTGGCAAGCCTAAATACACACCACTCACGATGTTTATTGAAGTTATACTTCTTTAGGCGCTTTATGAAAAAATGATGAGAGTGAAATTTTAAGATGCGCGCGCATCACTGTAACACAAATTATTAACAGCATGAAGTTGGTCCTTTGTGTGTCCTTTTCCAGACTTTTTATTCATTTATTGTAATTAATTATTTGCATGCAATTAAAAACTAATTTTAAACGATGCCAAAGAAGGATAACTTCTCACGCGCCTACATAAGTTCACGCACCCATTTTTTTTTCTGCAGATAAAAACGACTATCTATGGTTTATGTACTTTTAGATGTAGGTCTTTGAACACAACAATGTCTCCTATTTACATTACTGGGATTACAAATTAGGTTGAGTTATTTTATCTTATCACGCCATCTCCTTTTCTCGATTGGACCACGCTGGGCTACGTTTCTAGTTACACCTTACTTACTGTATGTAGTAACGATTTTAATAAATCATCATCTTCATTTTCAACAGCCTATTAAGGTTGTGGCGGCGACATCTATATGCCCCACATATAGACAACGGATGGAGGAAATCATTACTCACCATCCTCAAGAGATGGCGTTACCTGCACTGCGATCAATAACAGTATGGAAGCCTACATCGCGCAAATGAAATTCGGAAGCTAACTCTTCATATATACGATGCCCGACCAACATCAGTCGGGCCGCGGCCCCCGAGCTAACATCACCCAGCTCGGAGGAAGATCTTCCCCTTTGGCCTTCCTACACTGGTGACCCTCGACTGAGCACAGCAGCAGCAAGAAGCAACCTTCTACCACCGCAGCGCAGCCATCAATCCTCATACCCCTTCCTCATCAGGTCAAGCAACATCAGCAGCCACACAGCAAGCCAGCATCAGCCTCAAGGTTCCATCGCAGCTCTCAACGACGCTTCCTGGACCTTCGGCAGCACTCGACGGCATCATCCCGACCTGGTCTCCGCAGCCCACGACCGGTACCTCACTTGTCGGCCGCAAGCACACCGGCGTGGCAGCCCTGCACACCAGCAGCTCGGACCCACCGTCACACTCCACCTGTCTCGACTCACCGTAGACTGGAGCAACTCTGCAGCACTGGCGACGCGCCTTCACCCCACCCGTCTCGACTCACCGCAGACTGGGGCATCCTGCAGCACACTGGCACTTGCAAGCTCGACTGACGCACTGACTGCTGAAAACACTGACCATCGACCTCCGGTCTCGGAGGGGAGTGATGTGGCGGCGACATCTATATGCCCCACATATAGACAACGGATGGAGGAAATCATTACTCACCATCCTCAAGAGATGGCGTTACCTGCACTGCGATCAATAACAGTATGGAAGCCTACATCGCGCAAATGAAATTCGGAAGCTAACTCTTCATATATACGATGCCCGACCAACATCAGTCGGGCCGCGGCCCCCGAGCTAACATCACCCAGCTCGGAGGAAGATCTTCCCCTTTGGCCTTCCTACAAGGTCCCCACTGCTGGGGCACAGGCCTTCCCTATGGATAGAATAGGGAGATTGGGCCATTACCAACCACGCGGGGCTAGTGCGGATTGAGGAGCTCGATGGCGTAGGTGGTTAGCGCATTACGCTATGATCGTTGAAGTTAAGCAACTTTCGTAGTGGTCGATTATTGGATGGGTGACCAAAAATCTTCTCGAGTTTCTTAGTGCTTCGGAATGTGCGTTAAGCCGTTGGCCCCGGCTGCATCTGCAGGCGTTGGCACCCAATCTTCCTATTCCATCCATAGGGAAGGCCTGTGCCCAGCAGTGGAGACATTAATAGGCTGATGAGGCTGAGACTGACTTGGGACATATTTAATTATTAATTTCGATTATATACATAAAACATTATTTTTAAAATTGGGAGAGTTGATAAAATAAAGTTATAAATAATTGAACCATTACAGGAAAATATCATAAAGTTAGCATTATTTGTCCTGTAACAGCCATGGGATCAGCGGCGTCTGCCGTTGGCGAGGTCCCAGGGGCGGACCTTCGGCTCCCCACCACCGGCCTGAAGTTCTCCGTCAACCAGCTCAGGAGTCTCAACTCCTACGTGGACACGCTCTACGAAGATGATCAGAAAGGTAAAGAAATGTCTATGTAGTGAAGAAATCTGTTGTAGATGATCCAAGAAAGGAATTGTCGATATTCATTGACGACCGAGTTATTGTAAAAAAAGCTAACTATATATTTTTTATAATTTAAAAGCATGTAACTGCTTGATGTTTAAATCTAAAGAAAACGTAACTAGAAAAATTTCCACGCGGACCAGGCAGCAGACGGGACTCGAACCCGCACCCTTCGCAATCCGGGCGAATGCACTGACCAATTATGCTACCGCGGCCCTCACGGACCGCGTCGAAATTTTTTTAGCCATTCTTAAGCTGCAAGGCAGCGCCATCTCTTCGCATTATAGGTAACTAACAAAAAACTAACTTTTGTATATCCTCACGGAACTAAGTGATTGTAGTTCCGTAATTAGAAAATAATTACCTAGGCATATGCTCATTATTCTTTCAGGAAAATAACAAGATAATTAAACAAATTGAAACGTAAATATCTCTTATGTATTGTTTAGAAATTCTGCGTATCTGCCTAATATCTGCAAGTAGGCACTACCAAATTCAAATTTTCTAAGTGTATCTTTAAACAAAGCCAACGAAACCAGTACTTTGTCATTCTTCACACATTGTTAAAAATTCTATAGATATGATTTAACAATGTCATATCACTTTGACTCTTTTCAGCGACAGTCGAAGGTGAGGTGACATCAAAGTGTCAGGCAAAATGAGATTAGATGTTTGAAAATTTCGTTTCAATAAGCATATTTTCGTAGAAATATATATGTTACCGGCCAAACCCGATATTAGGACAAACTAGTTTTGCCTAGGCTAAACTAGATCTTCCTATACGCGATAGGATTCACTAGTATAGCCTAGTCCAAACTAATTTGGCCTAAGCCCGATAGGATAAACCAGTTTAGCCTAGGCCAAACTAGTTGATCCGGATATGAATACTCACACTGTAGGATAAACTAGTACGCATGGGTACACTCGCACACATGCGCATGTCCTAAGCCCGATAGGATAAACCAGTTTAGCCTAGGCCAAACTAGTTGATCCGGATATGAATACTCACACTCTAGGATAAACTAGTACGCATGGGTACACTCGCACACATGCGCATGTCCTAAGCCCGATAGGATAAACCAGTTTAGCCTAGGCAAAACTAGTTTGTCCTGAAATCGGGTTTGGCCGGTAACATATATACCGCCATGACTTAGGTAGGTACAATCGCTCGTATTCATCATACAAACATTTGCTTCACCCGGATAGCAAACTAGGATCCTTGAGTAGACGACACCATGGAGATTGTCAACGAAAATAACTATGATTTTATTTATTTTTTAAGCATTTAACTGCTAGATGTTTAAATCTAAAAAAAAGTTTACTAGAAAAAATTCCACGCGGACCAGGCAGCGGACGGGACTCGAACCCGCACCCTTCGCAATCCGGGCGAATGCAGTGACCATTATGCTAGCACGGCCCTATTCGCCGCGTCGAAATTTTCCTAGCCTTAAGCTTCAAGGTGGTAGCATTTTGGTCAGTGCATTCGCCCGGATTGCGAAGGGTGCGGGTTCGAATCCCGTCCGCTGCCTGGTCCGCGTGGATTTTTTTTCTAGTAAACTTTTCTTACGTTTATTACATTTTTATTTAAACCATTTAACTGCTTGAAGTTTAGTATTAAAGAAAATGTTGCTAGAAAATATATCTTCTTGGTTCAGGTTTCAGACGGAAACCTGGCCCAAGTGGCTTTTTTCTAGTGAAATTTTCTTTAAATGCAAATAAGTATGGCAATTAATAACAATAGGGGTGATAACGGGGTACAGTAAACGAAATTCTATTTAGTCCGTCAGTTATATGATCAAAAAATAATGGACACGTATTTTTTCTTTGGGCAATCAACCAAAAAATGACAAAGTTATAGCGCGTCAAAGTTTGGGAGTAGGGGCTCGTGACGTCACTTTTTAGTGATTTTTCACTTAAAAGTGTACTCAAACGTGACGTCGTTTTCAAATGAATATATCTCTGTAATGTTTATATTATGTGAAAGAAGAAAAAATACGTGTCCAACACTTTTTGATAATCTACCTGATAAACGAAGAAAAAAAATAGTTATCATCCCTATTTAATGGCAGGTCGCATGAGCATGGAGACGGAGAGCGCGGTGGAAAGCTTGGTCCAACGCATCGTAGACGGCGCTGGCCAGAGAGACCCTCGCTTCAGGTGCTGCCATATCATAGCGCTGCACAGAGGCAAGAAGGTAAACATAGAATGCGGAAAGACCAGCTGCAAAAACTATTGAATCACCACGTAAGATCTGATTGGTTTACACGAGGTCTGCGTTCTGTGGTTCCGTTGCATTCGCTGCAAAAGTTTTTGGTATTGTTACGTGTCGGGATGGGGTTCGAAATTGTATGCCAGTTCGCGCTTGACAGTTCTTTATTCACCACACAGTTCACACAATTAACACACAATTTTAATTACAAAACACTCACTAAACACTGTATTTCACTGTACAAGTCTCTAAACAATCGCACTTGAACACTTTTGTTGCACTTTGATCGCCTTTGGATTCGCTCCGAAATCTCTGTTGAAACTCAACTGTCTCTGCGCGGCGCCAATCGCGCTTATATACGCCGATCGATGCATTCTAGAAAGTACCTATTAAATTGAGGATTAGCTAGTACCCGCGAGTACGAAGTACCTACTTATTATACCTACGCAGGTAACGCGCATAACTTGTAAACAAGTGCAGATGTCGTTGCACTTTCGCCCTTACGCTGAACTGCATAAGGCTCATTTTAGAATGAGCCGCATTACTCGACCTCTATCGCGACCCCCGGTGCCCTGGCACATTCGATCTCTAGCACATTCGCGGTTCGTTTCGAGAGCGTTTGTGACAGTATAAATTCATAACTTTTTGTTAGTAAGATATATAAAAAACCGTGTCGTGCCACGCGCATTGTAGGGTTCCTTAATATCTTTTCATGTGCTTATATACTCTTTGTAACGCAACGATAGCCGATCAGAAGCCGTTGCCGTTGGTACTCGCGGTAGCTTTGTGGAACTTCTACTATTTCATTGTGGTTTTTAAATAGTTTTTTAGATTTTGTTTTTCAATGCAAGGTCTACCACTCATCTATGTTACTATTAATGGTTTCTTCTGAGGAATTTTCAATAGGTAAGAAATTTTCTTTATCAAAGTTGCACGTCTACAACTTCAAACTAAGAAATCTATTTAAACCATTATAATTTTACTTAAAAGTTCATGTCTACATTGTGTTGTACAGATGCGGTCTCGTTCCCTGGAGTACCTGGTGACCTTGGACTCTCTTCCCGTGCTAAACAGTGGCGAGGAGTGCCGTCTGCAGGACGGCCCCACTGGGTACGGCAAGATCCGGCTCACCGGACGCGACGCGGACAAGTGGGAGGAGTTCCTTACACCGTCCGGGTATCTGTGCCGGTGAGTTCAGTGCAGTCATATTCTCTTATTTGGAGTATCTGGTGAACATGAACTCGTTGTCGGTGCTGAACAACGGCGAGGAGTGCCAGCTGCAGGACGGCCTCACCGAGTACGGCAAGATTCGGCTCACCGGACGCGACGCGGACAAGCGGGAGGAGTTCCTTACACCGTCCGGGTATTTGAGCCGGTGAGTTCATTACAGTCATATTCTCGTTCCCTGGAGTACTTGGTAAAACTGGACTCGTTGCCGGTGCTGAACAACGGCGAGGAGTGCCGGCTGCAGGACGGCCCCACCGGGTACGGCAAGATCCGGCTCACAAGACGCGACGCGAACAAGTGGGGGAAATTCTTCACACCATTCAGGAATTTGTGTTAGTGAGTTCATAAGAGTAGTATCAGTACTGGGGTAATGTTCTGGTTATTCATGGAGTTCTTGGTTTGTTACACCCATATCTGTGGTCGCACCGTTAGGAGTACAGGTATCTGTATAAAAAAAATCTTTCCTTTTGTCACACCGCTTTAAATTAATATCTAGAATTTGATCTAGAATTGCCGTAGTGTTGGGGATCTTTCACTGGTATTTGCTCAGTTTGCCCACCCGTTTGCGGAAGTAACCTTCACATTTTCCGGGTGTGCGGACAGTCGGCAACGGTTGCTGCGACCACACCTGCACTCCCGGCGTCCATTGGGGGACTGCGGTCCTCAGAAAATACGCCGGGTGACCGGTGCAGTAGTGAAATGAAATGAAAAGTCATTTATTCAGTCTAGGCTGTTACAAGCACTTGTGAAGGTCAAGAAGCTACGCCATCGGTTCGCAAAGCTTCGGCGGGAGACCTTGTACTGAGAAGAACCGGCAAGAAACTTAGCAAGGGCTGCTTTTTTCTCCCTGTATAGATATATACAGAGTCGTTGAAGTGGAAAAATGACTTCAGAGATACTTCTGAAGTCACCTTTCATTACATCATTTAGGATATAGATATATAGTTACAATAAATTTTATATTTAGTATATAGGAAGCGGCATTAGATATTACTGTTACAAAAACTGACTAATACCCATCAAATAACAAATTACAAGAAACACTATGTCCATGCATTACGATCATTTAGATAATCATTAACTTTATAATAGCCCTTATTCATAAGAATATTCTTAATCTAAGATTTAAATTTGGTTAGTGTAAGCTCAATCAGATCTTGGGGAATTTTGTTAAACAATGCAATACTACATCCCAGAAATGAACCTCTTGATTCTTGAAGTCTGAAACATGGAACGGCAAGCTTGTTCTTAAATTTCGTGTTAAAGTTATGGGTTTGACTTTTTATGCAAATGCGTCATAGTTTTTTCTTATCGTCATAGTATGGTCTGGTTTTTAGTGACCCTGTTCAGGGTGTAAGATAGGGCCCTGCTCACTTCATCCGGCCCAAGGGCTGGCTGAAATGAGCAGGAGTCCCACAGACCTTCTTCTCGCTCCCACTGGAAGACGGTGTGAGGTAAACAAAAGGAAATCTACCCGAATATGGGCGTACTGAACTCCGTTCATTTTCACTTAGTCGTTTACCCGAATACCATTGGCACTTGTATTTGGGCTAGCGAGCAAATGTAATCGCGTCATATGTCTTCTTCAAAAGGTCTTTTGCGTATTGCATACAAACATAGTCAGTCTTGCAGACGGGACTCAAACGCGCACCCTTCGCAATCCGGGCGAATGCACTGACCAATTATGCTACCGCGGCCCTCACGGACCGCGTAGTATAATTGGTCAGTCACATATTGTGGGTTACCTATAATGTGAAGAGATGGCGGCAGCTTAAAAATGGCTAGAAGAATTACGACGCGGTCCGTGAGGGCCGCGGTAGCATAATTGGTCAGTGCGTTCGCCCGGATTGCGAAGCGTGCGGGTTCGAGTCCCGTCTGCTGCCTGGTCCGCGTGGATTTTTTTCTAGTTATATTTTCTTTGGATTTAAACATCAAGCAGTTACATGCTTTAAAATAATAAAAATTATAACTATAGTCAGTGTTGATATTTATATTGGTGAAACAACTGTTGATGCAGGGATAAGGTGGTAGAGCGATGGGTGGAGCTGATAGCTCGTTGTGCCACAGCGCGAGGTGGGAGTGGGTCGAGGGTGCTCTGCGCGCGCGCAGCAGCGAGAGCGGTACCCTACCAGTACTGCTACCTACAGAAAGGTGGGTTTACTAGGGTGAAGTTGAGTATTGGGACAGGGTCAAAGTGGTAGAGCGATGGATGGAGCTGATAGCTCGTTGTGCCACAGCGCGGGGTGGGGGTGGGTCGAGGGTGCTCTGCGCGCGCGCAGCAGCGAGAGCGGTGCCCTACCAGTACTGCTACCTACAGAAAGGTGGGTTTACTAGAGTGAAGTTGAGTATTGGGACAGGGTCAAGGTGGTAGAGCGATGGATGGAGCTGATAGCTCGTTGTGACGCAGCGCGGGGCGGGGGTGGGACGAGGGTGCGCTGCGCGCGCGCAGCAGCGATAGCGGTGCCCTACCAGTACTGCTACCTACAGAAAGGTGGGTTTACTAGAGTGAAGTTGAGTATTGGGACAGGGTCAAGGTGGTAGAGCGATGGATGGAGCTGATAGCTCGTTGTGACGCAGCGCGGGGCGGGGGTGGGACGAGGGTGCGCTGCGCGCGCGCAGCAGCGAGAGCGGTGCCCTACCAGTACTGCTACCTACAGAAAGGTGGGTTTACTAGAGTGAAGTTGAGTATTGGGACAGGGTCAAGGTGGTAGAGCGATGGATGGAGCTGATAGCTCGTTGTGACGCAGCGCGGGGCGGGGGTGGGACGAGGGTACTCTGCGCGCGCGCAGCAGCGAGAGCGGTGCCCTACCAGTACTGCTACCTACAGAAAGGTGGGTTTACTAGGGTGAAGTTGAGTATGGGGACAGGGTCAAGGTGGTATAGCGATGGATGGAGATGATAGCTCGCTACGCAGTGATAGTGTCCTACCAGTACTGTCACTTACAGAAAGGTGGGTTTACCAGGGTGAAATCAATTATTGGTGTAGGGAAAAGATGGTGGTGGATTACCAGAACATACAGAAATGTTATTTTTCCTGTACTTGTAGGATTAAAGTCTAAGGTCCATCTGCAGCAGTTTTGCTAAATCAGTATTTAAAGAAAACTCGTACAAGAATGTCAAATGGACATTGACGTTTTGTCAATTTTCAATAGGCTAAGTCTAGTTTTACTTGAATCAAGATTTAGCAAACTTCCTACAAGTGGGCCTTAAATTATAATCGTTAATGATAAATTAAGAATGAACTAAAAACCTGTCTATAAAGAATATACCTACTAATAAGTTCCATACTAAAAAAAATCTAAAGCACTTTAAGCCCAATCTCAGGTACCGTTTTTCGTTTTTCTTTTTAATTTTTTCAAAGACACTGGATATCACTCGGAGAAACCAAAAAATGTATATTTTGGATAAAGTATTTATGAATGGATGAAATATTTATGTCTTGCAGCATCGCCTACTCAGACGAGTAGTGACCGTCGTTTGGCCATAGTGGAAGGAACAGCGTGGGTGATGGTTCGAGCCGGTGGAGCCCAGGCTGAGGCAAAACTGGTGCTGGGTGCTCGAGCTGCTGGGGCCAGTCCTAGTGCTTATTGTACTCGTGTGCCGATCACCCATCCCATGGCGCTCCTGCACTACGCGCCGCATGCGGTAACTGTCTCCCTCTGTCTACACCTGCAGACCTACTACACCCGAATGCCGGTCACCCATCCCATGGCACTCCTGCAATACGCGCCGCATGCGGTAACTGCCCCCCTCTGTCTACACTTGCAGATCTACTGCGACCGCATGCCGGTCACCCATCCCATGGCACTCCTGCACTACGCACCGCAAGCGGTAACTGTCCCCCTCTGTCTACACTTGCAGATCTACTGCGACCGCATGCCGGTCACCCATCCCATGGCACTCCTGCACTACGCACCGCAAGCGGTAACTGCCCCCCTCTGTCTACACTTGCAGATCACTGCGACCGCATGCCGGTCACCCATCCCATGGCACTCCTGCACTACGCACCGCACGCGGTAACTGTCCCCCTCTGTCTACACTTGCAGATCTACTGCGACCGCATGCCGGTCACCCATCCCATGGCACTCCTGCACTACGCACCGCACGCGGTAACTGTCCCCCTCTGTCTACACCTGCAGCCCTACTGCACCCGCATGCCGGTCACCCATCCCATGGCACTCCTGCACTACGCACCGCACGCGGTAACTGTCCCCCTCTGTCTACACTTGCAGATCTACTGCGACCGCATGCCGGTCACCCATCCCATGGCACTCCTGCACTACGCACCGCAAGCGGTAACTGCCCCCCTCTGTCTACACTTGCAGATCACTGCGACCGCATGCCGGTCACCCATCCCATGGCACTCCTGCACTACGCACCGCACGCGGTAACTGTCCCCCTCTGTCTACACTTGCAGATCTACTGCGACCGCATGCCGGTCACCCATCCCATGGCACTCCTGCACTACGCACCGCACGCGGTAACTGTCCCCCTCTGTCTACACCTGCAGCCCTACTGCACCCGCATGCCGGTCACCCATCCCATGGCACTCCTGCACTACGCACCGCACGCGGTAACTGTCCCCCTCTGTCTACACTTGCAGATCTACTGCGACCGCATGCCGGTCACCCATCCCATGGCACTCCTGCACTACGCACCGCAAGCGGTAACTGCCCCCCTCTGTCTACACTTGCAGATCACTGCGACCGCATGCCGGTCACCCATCCCATGGCACTCCTGCACTACGCACCGCACGCGGTAACTGTCCCCCTCTGTCTACACTTGCAGATCTACTGCGACCGCATGCCGGTCACCCATCCCATGGCACTCCTGCACTACGCACCGCACGCGGTAACTGTCCCCCTCTGTCTACACCTGCAGCCCTACTGCACCCGCATGCCGGTCACCCATCCCATGGCACTCCTGCACTACGCACCGCACGCGGTAACTGCCCCCCTCTGTCTATACCTGCAGCCCTTCTGCACCCGCATGCCGGTCACCCATCCCATGGCACTCTTGCAATACGCGTCGCATGCGGTAACTGCCCCCCTCTGTCTACACCTGCAGCCCTACTGCACCCGCGTGCCGGTCACCCATCCCATGGCGCTCCTGCACTTCGCACCGCACGCAGTAACTGTCTCTCTATCTACAGCGCCCCCCTGCAGCCTACAATATACTCCACTGAAAATAATACAATGTGTCACCCGATTTATTTGACCTTTCAACTGAAACTTTGACTAACTTAAATGAACTTTACAAACTTGAAAGCAAAACTTTGGCAAAGTATCAACAAATAAATATCAGATTCGCCATTATCAAACAAATGAATACGATACCGAGTTGATTCTGTTTTAATTACTGCCAGAAAACAATTGTGACCTCTTGGCAGCTTTTCAGCCCGTCACCTCGAAAGTTTTCCGTAACTGCCAAATATTTATAATTATGTTTATATCTTCTAGTTCAACATGAAAATCAGCAACTCAAATCACATAGATAACAATATACTCGATTTCTTTATCGGAGCTGGTATTTATATTTTTTAAGCATATATAACTGCTAGATGTTTCCTCCGCCAGTGTCTGTCTGTCCCATTGTGGGTTACCTACAATCAATGCGAAGAGATGGCGCTGTCTTGCAGCCTAAGAAATCATAGAGAAAATTCAACACGGTCAATTAGGTCCGCGGTACAACAATGGTCAGTGGATCCGCCTGGATAGCAGGGGGAGCGGGATCGAGTCCCGTCTGCTGCCTGGTCCGCGTGGATTTTTTTGTAGTTATATTTTCTTTAGTGTTGAATTTTCTTCAGGGCTACTACGCTGTCGCTATAGGTCCGCCTTCATCGGTGGTGTGCGCTGACAGGTCTTCTGTGTGGCAACTGTGGAACCCAGAGTTGGAGGCAAACTTAGACGCCCACTTATCTGACCTGTCCACGGTGGCGAGAGTGGCGGGGGCTCTGAACGCCCTTATCGATAAGATGAGGGAAGGATCGTATCAGGTCAGTAATAATGTGAGTCGCTGTAGTCATCTCCATTTTACTCTAACATACATAGTTTTGATGCCGTATGTAAACGATGTAGTTCATGATACACACGTCAACATATGGCCAAAGGTAGCATTTAAGGCGAAAATCTGAGCGAATGCTGTTGGATGTTATTAATGTATAATAAAATGAAAAGTCATTTATTCAGTGTAGGCTGTTACAAGCACTTCTGAAGATCAAGAAGCTACGCCATCGGTTCGCAAAACTACGGCGGGAGACCTTGTACTGAGAAGAACCGGCAAGAAACTCAGCAAGGGCTGTTTTTTTTCCCTGTGTTGTTATATACAGAGTCGTCAAGTTGAAAAATGACTTCAAAGATATGTCTGAAGTCACCTTCCATTACATCATTTAGAATATAAATATATAGTTACAATAAATTTTATAGTGAACATTATATTTAGTTTAAAGGAAGCGGCATTAAATAGGTACAATATTACTGTTATGAAAAATTACTAATACCCATTAAATAACAAATTATAAGAAACACTATGTCCATGCATTACGATCATTTAGATAATCATCAACTTTATAATAGCCCTCATTCATAAGAGTATTTTTGATCTGACATTTAAATTTAGTCAGTAATTGAGTTTAATAACAATAAATGACGGATACTCTTACAGTAATAATTATCTGGCCTTCAATTTGTTATGCCTCATTGATACTTTGCTTTAATTTGAAGGGTATACCGAAAAGAGTTGAAGTTAAATTACACACACTGTATAGCTTTTTGTACATAAAAATTTGCTAACACCGCGAACGTCACTCAGGCCGCGTCAATGTCCCGTGTTTACCGAGTGTCATATTATAGCAATAATAAATATAATTTATTTATTTAAAGACTAATTAATACACATTAGATACAAGAATAGCCTACACTTTAACTGTAACTTTGTTTACCTCGGAAAACATCTATCTCTGATATTTTTCCTACGCTACGCTCCAAATAATAACTTCTTATTTAAGGTGTAAAAACTATTTATAACACAGCTTTCGATTATGCAATACCCACACGAAATTGGCCCCGGTCTCGGTAGAAAGACAGGAAGCGAGCAATAGCTATGCCAACTACTGGACGCACGATAGTTTAATTCATTTCAAACTATTGTCGCGAATGTATTTACTACATTGTTTTGCCTCTTTTTAGAGATGGTTAAGTTATGCTCAGTCCATTCTTTCTAATGCTTCTCCTACAACAGCGCGACGAAGCTTCGGCTGGCTCTTGTTGCTAGACGATAGCTCGACTGGCGATAATTTGACACGCTAAAAGAGCATGTTGAATTTGTAGCAGCGTCTGTCTGTGAGACACTTAATATTGAATGTATTTCGTCAATGGCTGTATTTCATGCAAGACTGTTAAACCTATTCCCTTACAATTTTATTCCTATTCTTTAAACCTTTTATTTATTTTCTGTTTCGTTTCCTTTCCTCTCCTCTTCCTTTCGCCTCTCACTATTTACCCGTCTTCTCCTCTCCCTGTCTTTCCCACCCATTCGACCTCCCATCATCTCGACGCGGCCTCTGATTCTGATGGGGCTACTCTACCAACTATCGAATCCTCTACATCACAATTATGTTATAATCATCAACTTAAAATGTAATAAATAAAAATTGTTTTAAAAAGAAAAGTTCGAACGCTAATTTCAGCGCATTTTAGTACCAAAGCCATCTGAAGCTTTGTCACGCAGGTGTCGGTAAGTGTAAGAGGTGGACAAAAAGATTACTATTTTATTTTTCTAGTAAACTTTTCTTTAGATTTAAACATCTAGCAGTTAAATGCTCAATAAATAAATAAAATCATAAGATTACTAATGCCTAATGCGTGATGGATGCAGGGTACCTTGCGCGTGGTGAGCCGGTACATGACCGCGTGCAGTCTCCGGCGCCGGCTCGACCGCTGCGCCGCGCTGCACGCTCCCTACGCGCGCGCGTTTGTGTCCGCGCATGCTTCACATCATCTATTGCTGGTGCTGGACGAGTAAGTGTCCCACGCGCGTTGCTATGTTGACGGTATAATGCGATTCAACTAAGAATAGGACCGACTGGGCGCCATATTTCTACGTCATAGCTGTCAATTCAAACTAAATAGGTAGAGTGAGCAAAAAAATGTTGCTATATAATAAAATTTATTTACTAAGATTCAGTGAGACATAACATCAGATTTTTTAATAAAATTCATTTACTAAGGTTGAGAAAGAACACAACCAATTTTTAATAGTATTTCTTTATTAAGACTGTGTGAAAAAAAACATTAATCAGAAATTAGCTCTTCAATTTCGCTCATCTCTGCATTACCGCCGGAGAAGTTATGAATAATCATGCAGGTCACATACGAACATGCATCTTATATGTAAACGAAAGTCTTAAATCGAGTTTCTGAACGCAACATAAAGTGACATTTGGTTGACGATTTAGGTTAATAACCATGCATAGCCAAAGCTCAATAAATGAAAAAAGAAATCAACTAATATTAATTATCAACATTTGTTATCGTTTGTTATAAAGGTATGGTTTTTATTCTAGAATCAGCTGAGTGCTAAAAAAGTGTTCCGAGATTTTTTTGCAAACCGTACTTTTCAAGCTACATTTGACAATTGAAGGTCCATGGCTTTCCTATTCTTTTTTGAATCGCATTATATATGCTGCACGCTCCCTACGCGCTCGCGTTTGTATCACGCTATGCACCACGATATCTATAAAAACTTGTTTTTGTCTTTCCCGCTGGAAATTGTTTGCCTTATCACATATACAGAGAGGATGGATCGAGCAAAACTCGAATGTGATCGAAAACTCTTTAAAGAGAAAGTGAAATCGATGCCGCTGCACGACAGCCTTCCCTGTCCAAGTGCAAATGGGCAGAAAAGACATGGGACAAAAGTTATCGTGACGCGACGAGCTAGAGTGTCGCTCAGTCCATTCTTTATGTCTATGATGCCGGCCGCCTGCTCACTGTTGTGCTCGGCATGGTCTCATATGATGATGTGTATATAGGTTGGTGTGTATCTGCGAGCACGGCGGCGTGGCGGGGTACGTGTGGGGCGCGGGGCGCGGGGCTGCGGCGTGGCGCGGCGCGCGGGATACGCACTGGCAGCGCGACGCCGCGTGCCTGCGCGCCTGCCTCACGCGGCTGCACTCCCTGGCCGGTCAGTCAGCCACGTGCCGGTGTCCTGTAGGGCGGTGTGTATGCGAGCGGCGCGCGGGATGCGCACTGGCAGCGCGACGCCGCGTGCCTGCGCGCCTGCCTCACGCGGCTGCACTCCCTGGCCGGTCAGTCAGCCACGTGCCGGTGTCCTGTAGGGCGGTGTGTATGCGAGCGGCGCGCGGGATGCGCACTGGCAGCGCGACGCCGCGTGCCTGCGCGCCTGCCTCACGCGGCTGCACTCCCTGGCCGGTCAGTCAGCCACGTGCCGGTGTCCTGTAGGGCGGTGTGTATGCGAGCGGCGCGCGGGATGCGCACTGGCAGCGCGACGCCGCGTGCCTGCGCGCCTGCCTCACGCGGCTGCACTCCCTGGCCGGTCAGTCAGCCACGTGCCGGTGTCCTGTAGGGCGGTGTGTATGCGAGCGGCGCGCGGGATGCGCACTGGCAGCGCGACGCCGCGTGCCTGCGCGCCTGCCTCACGCGGCTGCACTCCCTGGCCGGTCAGTCAGCCACGTGCCGGTGTCCTGTAGGGCGGTGTGTATGCGAGCGGCGCGCGGGATGCGCACTGGCAGCGCGACGCCGCGTGCCTGCGCGCCTGCCTCACGCGGCTGCACTCCCTGGCCGGTCAGTCAGCCACGTGCCGGTGTCCTGTAGGGCGGTGTGTATGCGAGCGGCGCGCGGGATGCGCACTGGCAGCGCGACGCCGCGTGCCTGCGCGCCTGCCTCACGCGGCTGCACTCCCTGGCCGGTCAGTCAGCCACGTGCCGGTGTCCTGTAGGGCGGTGTGTATGCGAGCGGCGCGCGGGATGCGCACTGGCAGCGCGACGCCGCGTGCCTGCGCGCCTGCCTCACGCGGCTGCACTCCCTGGCCGGTCAGTCAGCCACGTGCCGGTGTCCTGTAGGGCGGTGTGTATGCGTGCGGCGCGCGGGATGCGCACTGGCAGCGCGACGCCGCGTGCCTGCGCGCCTGCCTCACGCGGCTGCACTCCCTGGCCGGTCAGTCAGCCACGTGCCGGTGTCCTGTAGGGCGGTGTGTATGCGAGCGGCGCGCGGGATGCGCACTGGCAGCGCGACGCCGCGTGCCTGCGCGCCTGCCTCACGCGGCTGCACTCCCTGGCCGGTCAGTCAGCCACGTGCCGGTGTCCTGTAGGGCGGTGTGTATGCGTGCGGCGCGCGGGATGCGCACTGGCAGCGCGACGCCGCGTGCCTGCGCGCCTGCCTCACGCGGCTGCACTCCCTGGCCGGTCAGTCAGCCACGTGCCGGGGTCCTGCAGGGCGGTGTGTATGCGAGCGGCGCGTGGGATGCGCACTGGCAGCGCGACGCCGCGTGCCTGCGCGCCTGCCTCACGCGGCTGCACTCCCTGGCCGGTCAGTCAGCCACGTGCCGGGGTCCTGCAGGGCGGTGTGTATGCGAGCGGCGCGTGGGATGCGCACTGGCAGCGCGACGCCGCGTGCCTGCGCGCCTGCCTCACGCGGCTGCACTCCCTGGCCGGTCAGTCAGCCACGTGCCGGGGTCCTGCAGGGCGGTGTGTATGCGAGCGGCGCGTGGGATGCGCACTGGCAGCGCGACGCCGCGTGCCTGCGCGCCTGCCTCACGCGGCTGCACTCCCTGGCCGGTCAGTCAGCCACGTGCCGGTGTCCTGTAGGGCGGTGTGTGTGGCGGTCAATCAGCTCATTATCATCATTATCACAGTCGTACGACGCCCACTGTAGAGCATAGGCTTCCTACAAGGATTTCCACACCGATCGGTCCACTCCAGTCCGCCACTCGCATTCATCGACTTCCCGCGACCTTGGCCAGATCGTCGGTCCACCTGATGAAAGGCCTGCCCACTGACACACGTGCGGTGTGCTGTTGCCATTCGAGCACCTTTCCACCCCAACGGCCATCGGTTCTCCTCGCTACGTGTCGCGCTCACTGCCACTTCAGCTGAGCAGTCCTTCGAGCGATGTTGGTTACTTTATTTCTCCTTAGGATTTCCTCATTTATGATTCCGACATAGGGATATATCGCTTTCCCATTACCCGATGTGCCTTCTTATGAGACTCATAGTAAATGACCACGTTTCGTTTCCGTAGACCATCCCAGGCAACACACACTAGTAAAATACTTTTGTCTTGATACACTGATTTAATTTGGACGCGAAGATTTTTCGTAGCTTCCCGAACGCTGCCCATTACAGCTGGATACGATGAGACAGCTCTTTCCCAAAGTTGGACTTACCTAACTGGACTGTCTGTCCCAGGTAAACAATATTCGAAATGATTTTCGTCAGTTTATTTGTTTGTAGTCAGTCGTTGCAACAAAGAAATAAAGACAAAAGCCGTCTTCATCATTTCCGTGTCCGTTATTATTACCACTGCTGTGGTACAGACCTTCCATATAGATGCAATAGAGATATTGTTCCATGACCCTCCACGCTAGTCCAGTGGGGTAAGGTACCCACCGGTAAGGTGCTAACGACGAGATATAGCCGAAACTAGTAGCATAACATGCCTTTGGAAACATGAAAGAACTCGAAATAGTAAATTTCTGGTCACCTCCCGCTATGACCGCTTACGAATTTTGAAAGTTGTTAAAATGAATGACCATATTCATTCAATTTATCAACTTTCGATTTTGGAGTGGGGACTTACAACTGCAAAAATACACCCCTGTATATTTCATATTACTTTTGAACACGAAAATTGTACCGCTCATCATAAAATACTTTGAGGCGAAGTACAATTTCTTGGGGAATAGCTTTTGTTCCTTTATTTCATCATCATCATCATCAGCCTATTAATATCCCCACTGCTGGGGCACAGGCCTTCCCTATGGATGGAATAGGGAGATTGGGCCATGACCCACCACGCGGGCCCAGTGCGGATTGGTGGGTGCTAACGACTGCGGATGCAGCCCGGACCAACGGCTTAACGTGCCTTCCGAAGCACGGAGGAGCTCGAGATAGTAAACTTTTGGTCACCCATCCAATGACTGACCACTGCGAAAGTTGCTTAACTTCAACGATCGCAGCCGAACGCGCTAACCACTTGCGCCATCGAGCTCCTCTATTCCTTTATTTACTTCTTAATAATGCCCAAAGGCAAACGTAGTGTAGGACGTCCTCAGGCACGATGGAGTGACGATTTGCGCAAGGTGGCTGGCAGGAGCTGGATGCGAGTAGCCCAAGTTCGATCTGAGTGGCGTGCATTTGGAGAGGCCTATGTCCAGCAGTGGACTATGATAGGCTGTTGATGATGATGATTGATGAATGCCCAAAGAAACCCTAATAATTAGTTTTATATGTGGACAGGCAATGAAGAAATTCCTCCCACACCAGCGGAGTCCCTTGAAATAATCCTATTCAATCGTTGGGAAAACCTCAATAAGGAGTATAAGGGCTCAGGGCCCACTTACTCCCGGAGACAGCTGCGGTATTTGTGGCGAGCTGCCAGCGACTTGGTGAAATGCAAGAACATGATCATATCCGTAAGTATCTGAAACTATTTATATGACTTCATGGCTTGTCTAGGTAACTTGGGATTTATTTTTATTACTTAGAAAAGTTCTATAAGCAATAAACTAGGTTGATCACTTTAAATTTTCTTTATCTTCTTTATAATTACACGACTGCCCAGAAAAGAAAGAGAGTCTAGTATTCAGGGTTCATGTATGTATGTATATACAATTCTTTAATCCACCAAACTTTTAAATGCCTTAACCGATTTAGATGTATGTGGTGACGTGGTATCGTTAGAATCCTTTCACCATCTCCGGGAAACATCCGGGATGCATAAACTGTTAAAATTTAAATGACAGCAATGTCAAGATTTCCATTAATTATGTCAATAAAAAAAATAATAAATTCATACATAGACAATAAAACTTAAAAATTGAACAATGAAATAACCAAACGCTCAATAAAAGTATTTCGAAGGTAGCTCGACAAATTAAATAAAAGTTTTATTCTGACGACGAAGCCTGTAAAGGCTACGAAACGTCAATAAATAAATAAAATTTTCGTGCATTAACCCGTAAAAAATTAGTTTTATTTAATGAGTGATGTGCGTGAAAACCTAAGAAACAAATATTTCTTGTAGTTTTCATACATTTTATATGCACTCGCCACACACGGTACGCCGGTGGCCGCCACACGCTACAAATCGTCGTTGCTCGCTTCTTGTGGCCCGCACCGGCCACTTCATGCGCCGATACATGGTTCCGGATCCGATGAATGGGATCCGAGTTGTATTATGCCAAGTATTCCTTCCTTCATGTAAGTGCAAGAAGAAGATGCAGTAGAGTTTCAAGGTTATAGTGGCAGTGTCAGTGCGGTCCATATAAGAGTACCTACGTCAGCTGCATGAGCTATTTTTGTTGGCGACGCTAAGGGACTTTTTTTGTCATCAAAAACATTCAGAAAATTCAAAATTCAATATCGTTTATTCAGTCTAGGCTGTTACAAGCACTTGTGAATGTCGAAAAGCTACGCCATCGGTTCGCAAATCTACGGCGGGAGACCTTGTACTGAGAAGAACCGGCAAGAAACTCAGCAAGGGCTGATTTTTTCCCCCCTGTTTTATTTCATGCAGTGTCGTCCAATTGAAAGTTGACATCAAACTTGCAAACATGTGTTGAGGTCAACTTCCATCACATAATGTCAAATATGTAACAATAGACAGTCAACGAATTTACTAACAATAAGTGCATTTGCGATAGGACGCCTTGTTTGCTCAGACATATTACGACAACGCAAATTTTCGATATGTTGTGACCCCAGTATAATACATAACTTTTAATTATCATAAAAGTTATAAATATTTTGAAAAATTGAAGCAAGAAATTTGCTTTCAGGATAACCATAGCAACTTTCGGGCTAACCTGATTCAAGCGACTGCCCTAGGGGATGAGGCTGTAGAAGAACTGATCCATATCCTGGCCATCATGCTGGACCAGGCCAGGGACCTCTACGTGAACAACTTCCAGCGGCACACCTTCGGCGAGCTGGACAGGGAACTTTCTTCGTACAGGTCTCCACATTTGTTATATGCAGTTAGTTTTATGATCCACATTCTGACTATCGTGCTGGACCATACTTGGGACCTCTAGATGAACAACTTCCAGCGCCACACGTTCGAAGAATTGGACAGGGAATCTTCTTCTTACTGGTCTTCGTATAAATTGGGGTCCTTTAAGAGAGGCGAGAAGAAGCATTTTTGGAGGTCGGCAAAGTGAGGATGATTGGTGTAGCAGTTTATAACTGCTGTACCAGCTATCTTCGCGTTTGGACTTTATTACCACTTAACACCAGATGGGGTAGAGTCATTTGCCTACCTCTATATAAAAAAAAAAATCCAACACTTACACCAATTAGCCTAGCCCCAAAGTAAGCACTGTAAGGCTTGTGATATGGTATGCTAGGGTAACGGATAGAATACATAATATAAAGTACAAACGAAAAAAATACATACGAAACATCCATGACTGGAGTACAAATGCTCGTATTCAGCACACAATCTGTTTGTGTGCTGAATACGGGGGCAGATGCCCCCACCGGGACTCGAACCCGGGACCTCTCAAGTCAGCGACACCATGAAACCCGGCGTACAAACCACTCGACCACGGAGGTCATCAAAATATAAGATGTATAAGTTGTTATGTTTTGATAAAACTAACAAATTATGTAGATTAAGTTAACCTCAGATTTTTTTATGGTTTTATCAATGCGCTGATATGATGATGTCGTTAAGCCGTTGGTCCCGGCTGCATTGGCAGTCATTAGCACCCACCAGTCTGCACTAGGCCCGCGTGGTCCCCAACTTCATCCAGAGGGAAGACCTGTCCCCCAGCAGTGGGGACATTAGTAGCCTGGTGATAACGTGCCATATATAAATGTGTATTTTATTATTAACAGATCAAAGAAGTGGAATAAGCTCAAGGAATATTACGACGCTTCATCCGCGTGTCTCATAGATGCTGTTAGAAGGGACCCTGATCTCCGAAGGGAGGATCTCAAAGACCCTCCCAACATAATGAAGAATATTCTTCACTGGCTTCACAAGGGGGCGAAAGATGACAAAAAATATTTAGGACCTGTGCTCAAACCATACTTAGATGCTCTTTTCAAATGCTCTTTGGAGAACGCTTGGTTTCTTGAAGACTTTGATTCCAAGAACTGCTGGGAAGAATATGATGGGTTGGCCGAGTACTGCGCGGCTGTTCATGATGGAAAATTGGACCCATGCATAGGTCTCTTGGAGGCTGCTAAGAAACTGACATGGGCCAAGACTTTGGTTGACTTCGTCGACAGATTCAGACATATTGGTGAGTTTACAGTTTTCTAACAAATATTCTCATTACAATTCGTTTGTTCAGGCCTCAGTTTTAATATTATTTGAGAGTGGTTGAATTGAATTTTGGAATTCCGACAAACTTGATGTGGCTTTCTAACAACCGGTCAAAAGACTGATTATCCGATTAATGTGAAAGTTAGAATCGATAATATGCTAATGTTTTTTTTTACTAATTAATTACACTGAAAAAAGTATAGAGCTGATTCTAATAGAAGACGCAAGTGGTTAGCGCGTTCGGCTGCGATCGTTGACCAAAAATTTACTATCTCGAGCTCCTCCGTGCTTCGGAAGGCACGTTAAGCCGTTGGTCCCGGCTGCATCTGCAGTCGTTAGCACCCACCAATCCACACTGGGCCCGCGTGGTGGGTCATGGCCTAATCTGCCTATTCGATCCATAAGGAAGGCCTATGTCCCAGCAGTGGGGCCATTAATAGGGTGGTGATGATGATGATTCTAATAAATTTTATATTTTAGCTACATCCCGATTTTCTGATGTACTTACTTAAGGAGTTTTAATGTGCTTTAATTTATGTTCACAATACGCATGGTTATCACATATCATTATTGAAGTAAAATATGTTAACGTGCTTTAGCCCCATTTAAAAACTGTTTGAGGATAAAACAAATTAAGTGCGAAGTTTGTAAAAGTCAAACATGTAATTGTTTACAAACAACCCATGGTATATTCATTTTCAATACTTCGGCTTGACTTTGAAAAGGGTCTTTCAGAGCACAGGGCACATCCAATATTAGCCAGATCAAAATTTCAAGATGATTTTGCCTAGCGCGCGGCCATTAACATTTTACACATGGCAATTGTAACTTGACCCTTTGGGCATCGCTTTGGTACAAGTTTTTAGTTGGAAAATACTAAGGAGAGAGGTCTGTGTAAAATGGAAATAAGTTAAATGAAGCTGACTTGTGTTGGTTGACGTAAGGCTTCTGGAAGTATATGTTTTGAAAAACCTAATACTTGTTGTACGATTGATTGAAATCAACACACGAACCGTCCTCAAATAATGTACTGACTTAATTATTATGTACTTGTATAAGGTACAGCCCTGCCCTAATCATAAAACCAAATGATGGAGGGCTCTTTCTAATATATCTATAATATAAAAATGAATCGCTGAATGTGTTGCTAAGCGCAAATCTCGAGGATACCTGAACCGTTTTCGATAATTCTTTTTTTTTAATATTCCTTGGAGTACGAGGATGGTTCTTACGCAGAGAAAAAATAAAAAAATTGCCTGATAAAGTCCAAAAACAACACTTTTCTATACACCCATACAAAACAATTCGTTATAATACTTGAAAGACAATTTTAATCCAAACTCTAATACCATACCCTATTTTTTCAATGTTAGTGGAGAGGTTCCGGGAAGGCAAAACAATTGAGTGACGTGATGTCAATAGAAGTTTGGAAAAGGCAACTATACCATTTTCAGTTTTTTTTATAATTAAATAAAGAGTCATTTTAGTCTAGACTACAGCTCTACACCGAAGCGAAGCGAGGTTGGGCCACTAGTAACAGTATAATTATTTTGGCTTGGTTACTATTATATCCCCCATTTAATAAATATATGTACCTATTTTATATTAAATTCTCGTGTGACACCGACTTTCAAAATGGTTTGACCGATTCATATGAAATTTTGTGTGTATATTCAGTAGATCTGAGAATAGGACGTAAACTATTTTTATACCCCTAAGTGATCCCCTAAGTGGGTGGTCCACCCCAAAAATTTTCATGTTTATTTTATGGACATATTTTTATTTTATTTTGTTCACGATTCGGCATTAAAAATTACATGAGTACAACCCTAAATTTTATGGCGATACGAAGTTTGCTGGGTCATTTAGTATAAAACTTAACTTGTTTGACAATTTGAAATTAATGTGTTTTTGGGTTCCCTGTTCTCTTTGTTTGTTGTTGGGTCCTGTTTGGGTTAAGAAAAAAACGGAACCTTTATAGGGTCACTTTTTTGTCCGTTTGTCCATCTGTCTGTCAAAACCCTTTCTTTATCTATGAAATAAGTGTTTAACTCGATACCTCGAGTTAAAATTAAAACCATGTACTCAAGTCTGTCGGTCCCTTGAAGCTGTGAAAAATTCCAAATTCTAAGTTAATGTAGAATAAAAGATACGGTCGTTTCGCAGTTAGTCTGTCAAGACCCTTTTTCTCGGGTTTTTAAATTTAAAATATACACTTAAGTTTACGGTGTTTGAAGCTGTAAAAAAATCAAATTAAATTTAACGTAAAAAAAAGATAAGGACGTTTAAGTTGCGTACCTACTAAAACATAAAAAAATAAAAAGACATAAGTAGGGAATGAATGACTGACCCGCATTGGTCCGGTTTTTTATTCATATTCGTAATGGGGTATTTGACAGTATTAAAAATAAAGTGCTTATTGTTAGCATCTGTATTTAGAATGAATATTGACAGGGGGTTTTACTATTATTCAAGAAAAAATATTCATAATTATACTAAAACCCACGAAAAAGATAATAGTTTTCATATCTATTGTCACGTGATTGAAAGCGCCTGGGATTGGCGGAGCTTAAAATGACGTCACACACTAGTAAAGTTCCGGTCAAAGTGGTCATTACATTGTATCGTTTGACTTTTTAATGATAGTCGTGTGACGTCACACACCAGTGTGACACCGCATTGCCCAGAGAAACGTTTTCGTGGCAACTTGAAAATTGAGTTTTTGATTTAGTTATTTTTAATAAAATACTCAAGAGAATGATGAATATTCACTTTTTATGGACTCCATAAACAATAGTAAGTAACGTGAGATCGTTTTCCAAAACTCGACAAATACCCTATTGAAACATTTACTACTTAATTGACTTCTTTATACATAAATAAAAGCATCGGTAAAAACACTGGAACTTCTAGTACAGTTTGAATAGATAGAGTTACCGTGTCTGTGAGCTTTAAGGTGTCTGTTAACTATCAGATAATAAGTTTTGATTCGATCCGTGGAAAGTTCGACGTTAGTTCGTGATTCGATTACACACACGCCACCTGGCGCCTGGCGACGAACTGGTGCTGTCGAACTGAGCATTGTGTTGAATCCACAAATTTTCCAGATCTGCAAGAAAAGAGAATTGGGAATTATTTATATAATTCAAATATAAAATTACATTTGTTGTTTAAAGATTTTTGTGGCAATAGTGCTTATACTGCACTGAGCACATAAAAATTATGTTTTGAAGTCGGAATCTTTAAATTACGAAATTATTTTAGTGGGTACTAACCAACTATTCCAACGCAAAGAAAAAATTTTATCATTTCTTTGTCGCACCATTCGCAAATGGAATGCCTCCTACAATTCGGGGTGGATGAGGCTGGTGTGGCAGGTAGAACTGCTGCACCAGTTATTTTCGCGTCTGGACTCCACCGTCACTTAACACCAGGCGAGGTGGACAGTGCCGTCTTTGACCTATTGGAGGCCCTGGGCATATTAGGATAATGGGGCCCCTATGACTTCCGTTTGGTGATTTAACAGGAACAAGGGACTTTGTGTTTGATCAGAGGGGGCCCCCTATCGATCGCGGGGCCCTGAGCACTTGCCCAAAGTGCCCACTGGAAAAGACGGGTCTGGGGGTGAAGTCATTTCTTCGGACCTATTTACAAAAAAGTCCATTTGTTTTAGATCGTCAAACAAACCCCGTCTGTTAATGACTCGGGAGTTAGATCTAAGTTTGAGTATTATGTTCCACTAGCAGCCCGCCCTCGCTTCGCTTCGGTGTAGAGCGAAGTTTAGACTACAGTTTTTGTTCTCAGGCTTGTATTATACACAATGACATTCATCTATGGTTCTTCTTATACCTGCATGCAAAGTCTCAGCCTGATCGGTTTAAAATTGACAAAGTTTCATACAAAGTTCCATTCCCTATTTTATCCCCTTGGGGGTAGAATTGATCAAAATCCTTCCTTAGTGGATGCCTACGTCATAACATCTATCTGAATGCCAAATTTCAGCCCGATCCGTCCAGTGGTTTGGGCTGTGCGTTGATAGATCACTATGTCAGTCAGTCACCTTTGAGTTATATATACACACATCAAAAGTGTCTAGGGATCAAGCATTTTTATGCGGATTTCTTGAGATTGAGATGTGGCTTTGTAATAAATTTATGATTTTATAAATTTATATGGATCCTTTTTGGTGCATTTCATAATTTGAATCAGGAACTGTGAATCAAATTCAAGTAAAAGATGAAAATCAGCTGTTAATATTTTCCCTATAAAAACATACAACGCATTGAAGACATTATTAGTGCTACTGTTTCCCTACTACTGATTAAAACCAACGTTATTATGGAGCGGCGACGTCATTTAAGCAGGGAAGAAATGCTCAGAGCCGTGGGAATGATAGAAGCTGGTTCCCGGCAACGTACTGTGGCTTTAGCTCTGAATACAAGTCAGAGTGTTATCAGTCGACTTTGGACACGATACCGAAGCACTGGTACCGTGGCTGAGCGCCATGGAGGACGGTATCGCTGCACCACACGGAGACAAGACCGATACATTCAAATCTTAACTCGAAGAGCTCCAACAATAACCGCCATGATGTTAGCCGTGAGGCTTCATCACTCTTCAGGGAACTTAATTAGCGACCAAACAGTCAGAAACCGCTTGCATGAAGTGAACCTTCATTCCCGAAGACCGCTACGGGTACCACCTATAGCAATGCACAATCGTAGGATTCGATATCAATGGGCTCTTGAACACAGAAATTGGGCAGAAGAACAATGGCGTTTCGTGTGCTTTTCTGATGAGTCTCGTTTTGGTATGAGACCGGATACAAGACGTATACGACACTGGAGAACCCCTGGACGCCAACAGCGATTAAAATCCTGCCAGGAAGTCCATCCTTATAGTGGTGGAACCATCATGGTATGGGCGGGTATTTGGATCGGCGGAAGAACTGAGTTGATTTGGATCAGAGGCAACCTC